AGAAAGACTGGCTATTTTTATCCTTTTCACAGAAGTACATTATTCTGAGCGACATAAATCAGTCATAAGGGGACAAATACTTTATGAATTCACTAATGTAAAAAGCTGAGGAACAATTTATACTGAGAAAGAAATGTTCCTTTATGGCTACCCTGGATGACAGGGTTAAGTGAGAAGTTAAAAAAAATCAGTAAGACTATAATGTAAACATTCATTTGAATGAAGTGAAGGTAATATATATTAGGAGGGTGATGAACACAAGAGATGCATATAACAAAAGTAAATATTATCATATGCAAGTTCATCCATTATCAGTAATAACAAACAATAATGGACAAGTGGTCAACAGGAAAAATAAACAGGTAAGCTTAGATGAAAGGGGCTATCTTCACAACCATACTTAAGTTTGGCAGATAATATTCTTCCATGTTTACTGATGGATATAAATGCTGTAAACATATCGTTGCTGTTGTTGTGTACCATGGAATTGGAACCAATGCGTAGCAGACTCTCCAGCAGGTTTTCAGAGGCAGTAATTGCACAAGAGGAGATTGAGCATCCTTCTCCATTGGAGCAGCTGGTGAATTCAATGTGCATGCCTTTGGGATTACAGTGCAGATTCTTACCATGACACCACCAGAGCTTCCTAAATACATGGATGTCTATGTATATAGTAGAACAGAACCAACAAGAAGCAAAATCATACAAACTTCTAAATAGTAATCAAACACCCTGAGAGAAACAGTTACTGGCCCTAAATCTTCAGAACCATAGTCTCAGGTACATCTAGGTAAATTGGCATACTTTGAACAATGGCCACAAAGACAATATTCTACATCCTAGTTTGGTGATTAGCAATTGGTATTGCAAAAGCTTGGAAGCAGACTTCTAAGGTGCTTCTCTCCCTGTGCATAAGAAAGCAGAGTGAATAAAATAAGCATTCATCCTCACTCATTGCTTTAGTGACAACTGATATTAGTATACCCGCTAGGTAATATTCTGAGGCTCTAAATTGCATGAAAGACATTGCCCATCTTTTTCATGGAGCCATTGATGGATTGGAACTGCCAAGAGATGTTGCTGTTGGGTTAGCAGCACTATTATGTGCCCACTAGCTCACTAGAGCTCCCACAAGGGTGGGGGCCGGGGGTGGGGGGAGACACATAGAAATAATTAGTCTAATGCTAAAGGATTAAAACCCCTCAAGCTCTGTGATCCTGAGACAGAAGAACTAGATAGTCTCTGATAACTGCTCCAGCTTTAAAAGTATCATTCTCTTTTGTTGTATAAAAGAGAGCAATCAAATGAGCAGAGACTGGAAGGAACTCCATGCCTGCGGACTAAGAAAGAAGTGAGAGGAGCAGAATCACACACTTTGAGCCCAGATACTTGGGCTGAAAAACTCATAGGAGACACACAGGGAGAAAGCCTTCCCCAAGAGCCTGTACCCTGAATTTAGACTTCTCACCTTTGAAATTGTGAGACAATGAAGCCATCCACTTGTAGAATGCCTGTTAAAGCAGCACTGGTTAACTGACAGAGACCTCTATGAAAAGGATCCTGTTCTGCTGGAGAGTTCTGTGATTATTGAATTGCTTTTATGGTGGATAAAAGCAGCTCTAATTTCAAAAAACTGGTAAGAGCCTAAGGTCTCAATGAGAAATTGATATTTCAGAGTCACCCAGCTGTCCCATGGGAGAAAAATCTGCCTACCGCTTAATGTAGATTGTTGTTGTTGTTGTTGTTATGTACCATAGAGTTGGAACCAATCCATAGCTGACCCTCCAAACCTATAAAAACCCAGGGGAGCAGTTCCACTCTGCTACATGGAGTCTCTATGAATCAGAATTGATCCACTGGCACACAACAACTATAGTGAATAATTAGAACAGAACTTGGATGAAATTTTGTATAATTCTTTTGCAATAAAAAAAAAGTCTATCCTCTCATCATCTATCATTCCCTTTTTATTTTTTTTCCTTTGGTGGAACTTCTGTTCTAACCAAGGAAGATAATTTTCATATATCAGCTGTAAGTGGAGAATTGATTAATTTATTTCTGTGTTAAATTCTATGGAAGTGACTGGATAGTACAAACTCAGTGGGGCTCTATGTTAAAGAATGGTTGGTCATATGAATCCATCTAGAGATGCTTTGGAAGAAAGACCTGGTGATCTATGCATAGTTAAGATTATGTGTCAACTTGACAATAGTAAGGAGTTGAAAACAACCTACGTGCCCATCAACAAACAAATGGATAGAGAAGCTGTGGTATATTCACACAATGGAATACTATGCTGCATTGTAAAATAAGAAACTCATGCAATATTATTAAAAATGAGTGACCCTGGAGGACATTATGCTGAGTGAAGTATCTCAGTCACAAAAGGACAAATATTGCATGGTGCCACTGTTGTAAAACAGGACTGACATCAGGATTGGGGAGAAACTGAGAAAGATGGGTTCAATAATGTATACTGCATTGAAACAGATGAGGAAGAAAACGGTTTAAAACAGATATGTGATTAGGTATTTTTGTCATGACAGGAGTCCAGAGCAAAGGCTGCATAGTGGAGTAGACCTGGGGGAGGGTTTGTAAAACAATGAAAGAATTTTTCTTTTACTTTTCCGAGAGGGTAGTGTACTAGGGGGGAGGGTTGGGAGGGTAGAAAAGTGCAACAGTGAATGAATAGAAATCCAAAGTCTCTGTCAATTTTCATTGAAATGAATAACAAATTTTTAAAAAAAAGATTATGTGTCAACTTGAACAAACTGTGATTCTCAGTAGTTTCGCAACTGTGATATACTTGTCCTTCATGATAACATTTATAATCACTCCCATAATGCAATATGCTTCAAGTTGAAAGGGTTTTCTATAGGGGTAAGAATTCCCTGCCTTTTTATTCAATCTGGCACTTGCATATGGTTTGCAATTACCTCACCTCCAGTTCCTGTGATGACTTGCCATCTTTCTTGCCAATCTTGGCTTTTGTCATTTTCTGTAGCTATGTGCACATTTAGTTATAATATTTTCCTTTGTTTCCTCAAGCTGCCATTTGAAATCCTCTGCTCAGCTCTTTTACGTCAGTATTTCTTCCGCTTGTTTTGGCTTCTTGATATTGTAATGCAATTTTCATAGTTTCTTTTGACATTTCTTTTTCTCCTCTGTCTTTGTAATGAGCTTTTTCTCTCTTCATGGATGATATTTTTTATTTCATTCCACCACTCATCTGGTCTTGGATCATTGGTGATCAATATCTTAAACCTGTTCTTAAGATGACTTTTAAAATCAGGTAGATTAGCCTCATCGTTATATTTTGTTTCTTGAATCAGCAAGCAGCTCCCCAGCATATGCCAACAGTTGTTTTTGACTGCTCTCATTCAAACCCCAACTGTTTGTCTTACTGCCTCATGTTGCTACCATTCCATCATTGCTGCCATTCTATCGGGTTACCATTCCTCCAGGTGTCTGTGTTTCTTAAAAAAAGATGTAATCATTGAATGTATACATCTGTTAATTCAATTTCCAATCTTATTTCTCTTCCCAGCTACACAGTTTTCCACTACTAATCTTTCTACTTTGTTTCCAACTTTTTCATTCTAGTCACCAATTATTATTAATGCATTTTTGGTCCATTTCAGACTGCAAAGTTGGTAGAATTCCTCAGTCTTCTCTTCTTTGGCAATAGCTGTTGTTTCACAAACGAGCAGGCCTCACTCCTTGGTTGACAAGTTTCAACAGAGCTTCCACACTGAAAAAGACTAGGAAAAAAGATTTATCTATTTACTTCCAAAAATTCAACAGTGAAATTATTTTGAACCAGAATAATATGATACTACCCTGGAAGGTTTGGGTTGGTTTGAGTATGGTCAGTAGAAAGTAGTACTGGGGGCTTTAGCCTAATGATTGCTATTTTGAACCTACCCAGTGGTTCTGACATAATTATGGCAGTTTGAGGACTAAAGTGTGTCTGATTTAGGCATGGTCTTCCCAGTCACTTGCTATGCATCTGAGAGCTGGACAATGAATAAGGATGACAGAAGAAGAATTCATGCTTTTGAGCTGTGGGGTTTTGAGAAGAATAGTGGATAATCCATTGACTGCAAAAAGAACAAATATGTCTTGAAGAAAGTGCAACCAGAGTGCTCCTTGGATGATAAAGCTTTATGTCGTATACTTTGGGCATGTTGCTAAGAGGGCCTATTCCTTGGAAAAGAACATCTTGCTTGGAAAGGTAGAGGGTTGGCAAAAGAGAGGAAGATCCTCAATCAGGTAGATTGACACACTTACTGCTGCAATGGGCTCTAGTTTTTCAGGAAGTGTGAGTATAGCACAGGCTAGGACACAGTTCAGATCCATTGTTTATATTATGGGTCACACCCAACTCAAGGTCACAACAGCAACAATGGTTCTGAGGATGGAAAGGCTTAATAATTTGATACCACAGTAATTACAGCAAAGAAAACCCTTTGGAACCCTTCTATGTTGTAACACCTGAGGTCACTACGAGTGGACCATCTCAATGGAAGCTAACAACTACAATTCAAGGGTAGTCATAAAATGTCTCTTGTTTCTTTCTGGGAGCAACACAAACAGAACAATTAGATAAGAGAAAAAAATGTAAATTTTCTATATATTCAGGTCTAGAACATGTGGTATTCTTTAATTTCTCTATCTGAAATCCATCATGAACCAAAGGATAGGGGCAGATAAATAAATGAGGGATTTTGTGACAGATTGTGTTCCTTATCTCATTTTATAGACAAGAAATATAAAACTTTTTTAGGTGAAGGCTAGAAAGAGGCAGAGTTAGGGTCAATGTGATAGATCTAGAAATTTTTCATGCTCAACTTTTGATCTTAGAATTCCAATTGTATATGCAACAGGACTTCAGAGTTTCAGAAATAGTTTATGAGCCATGGGGCACTTTCCTAACTTAGCTGCTCAAAGTAGAGTCTTCATGATCTTGAGGTGCAATAATTTGATTTTGTTTCTTGCAGATGGCTTACTTGAAGATGAGATGTATATATATTTTCCTTCTACTTTTGGGAGCAATGTGCTTGATTTTTAGCAAATACCATCTGAAAAAAGAGCAATTTAGTTTCAAGATAAAAAGAGGAAACTTCCTTCAACTCCCAGAAGTGGACTGTGTGCAGAATCCTCCCTTCCTTGTCATACTGGTGACTTCCTCCCACAGACAAGTGGCAGCTCGGCTGGCCATTAGGAATGCTTGGGGGAAAGAAAAGGTTGTGAAAGGAAAACTAATAAAAACTTTCTTTCTCCTGGGAACCACAAGCAATCAGCAGGAAACAACAATAGTGGTCAAGGAAGGCATACAATATCGGGACATTATCCAGAAGGACTTTGTAGATGTCTATTTCAATTTGACTCTGAAGACCATGATGGGCATGGAATGGGTCCACCACTTCTGCCCTCAAGCCACCTTCGTGATGAAGACAGATTCAGACATGTTTGTCAATGTCTACTATCTGACTGAACTACTTCTAAAGAAAAACAGAACAACTAGGTTTTTCACTGGCTTCTTAAAATCCAATTCACACCCTATTAGGCATAAATCCAGTAAATGGTTTATCAGCAAACAGGAGTATCCATGGAACACATACCCACCTTTCTGCTCAGGTACAGGCTATGTTTTTTCTAGTGACGTTGCGAGTCAGGTGTATAATGTTTCTAAAAGCACCCAATTTATTAAATTTGAAGATGTGTTTGTGGGACTCTGCCTGGCCAAACTGAACATCAAGCCACAGGAACTTCATTCAGAGGAGACCTTTTTTCCTGGACGGATGCCCTTCTCCAAATGTCGGTTTAAGAAAATTGTGACTAGTCATTATATGAAGCCTTCAGAAATTTCATTGTATTGGGATGCTCTGGAGAATTCCCTGGAAGAAAAGTGCCCAGATACTCAGGAGGCCCTAAGAGCACTACTGGAAAAAATCATGCACCCAAAATCACTGTGAGAAGGGAAAGAGCAAGGAAGACAGTCTTCTGTGTTGCATATAACAATTAAAATAGAAGTACAACTGCAACCGCTGATGAATTCCCATATGGTGTTCCAAGCAGTAATCAGTAACATCCCTTGAGGACTTTCACCACTGTCCTAAGAATTCAATCCTCAACACAAAAGCCAGTGCAGTCAACTCATTTATACTTACAGATAACCTCCATTATTATGTCCCAAGGCTATAAATCTCCATTGGAAGAGATCTCTCATTTCTACTGAAAAGCTGTTGGTAGAATTAAATTTGTGGGTCCCACTCAAAACCTACTAATAGACATTTATATTAGCGCTCACTATGTGAAAGTTTGAGTCTCAAAGAGAGTACTACTCTCTTTTCAGTTCTTTGATATCAACTCATACACCTTCTGAACATCAATGAGTCATGTGGTTTTGCACTCTGGGAAAGCACAATTGAAATAATATTACTATCTCCAATAAAAATAGGCTTGCCCAAACTACCAGGAAACTTGCTTGGGGATGTCCTTAATGATTCCTGGAACTCATATATCCAATTATCATGTAACCAGGTAGTGGAAATCTCTGTATCAGTCCTGTAAGATTTTAATTTTAAACTGTGTATTTATCTCGATAATGGAGTTGTGCTTGCTAAACTAGACTTTCCTACAATTGTGGTCATAATCTTATAAATTAAAGACATGGTCGTGATTTACTGAATATTTATAGCTCCATGTTATAGTTTCCCTTATTCCAGAATTATGCATCTGTCTTTAGATTGTTAATGTCTTAATAAAACTAAGGTTTATTTCATTTGGAACTTAGCGGCAGTGGTGAATTTTTACCTTATTTGCAGGAGATCCAGGCTCAATTCCTGTTCAAAGTGCACTGCATACCCAGCCACATATTGTAGTGGATGTTTGTTTGCTGTTACGATGTTGAACAGGTTTCAGGACAGTTTCCAGACTAAGACAAATAAGAAATAAAGATCTGCTTTTTTTATATTTAAAATCAACTGCTGTAATCCATATATAGAACACAGTGGTCCAATCCATAGAATTGGATGGGATGGTGCCAGGAGTCACCAGGAAACCTAGACTAATTTGGTGGTTGTTGTTGTAAAGTACTGTCAAGTCATAGACAACTCATAGCAGCTCTATGAACAAAAGTCCTAAACACGTATTACCTTTCATCATTTCTCTAAGTTCATGGAGTTTCCAGAAGCCACTCCTGCCTCCAAGCCTGTTTTGATTGGGAACTCTACCAAACACTGTTGCATTTGACACATCAGTGTCACAGAAACTTGATGGTAAATAACAACAATCTCACGTGACTGCCAGAGACTATCTAGTGTCTTGGATCTCAAACCTAAGTTCTGAAATATAATTCAGTCAACTGTCCCCACAGAGTAATGTTCTGCTATTCTGTCCAGGGAGATGAGACCACAATTTCCAAAATGGATGCCAGATTCTTTCTGTTAGTAGGAAGGTGGTTTTTAGAAGAGGATGATGTGGACCATGAGATATCTCAAAACACACGTTCTAGATGATGAGAAATCAGCCTCAGAGCCTTCTTACTGAGATTGACCTCTACCTATTATAGATCTACCCATACAATGTTAGTTGAAGAAGCTGCCTATCACTGAGGTATTGGTATGCATTCTTCATATGTGACAGAGTGTTGGAGAGTAAGAACTCAAGTCTCTTTAAGAAGTTGCAGGTTCCCCCACAGTGATACATGTAGCTAAGCCCTGTGTGGACTGCTTTGCCTCTCTTCTTCACGGCCCTTGCACAGTGCTTATAAAAATGATGTGGTGGAGACATCAGATAGCCTCAATTAACTTTACAAGTGAGAGAAAAAATATACTATCAGCTTCAACAGAAGACTGACTTCTGTAAAGCTGAGACCAAACATATCTCCTTCTCTTCAATTTTGTGATCAGTTTAAACATAAACTGTCTTCACAGAGCATGGTCTACTTTTCCTGTCAGGTTCACTAATCTGTCACAATGGAAACACAGACCTCACACACTACATTGACAGTTGTAAAGTTTACTTGAGGAGAAACAGATTACAATTCAGACTCATAAATAACTCAAGATACAGATATTCAGTCAGAAAAGTGCCTCAAATGTGCTTACAGAGAGGCTTCTAAGCCCTCAGTCCTAATGGGATCTTGGTTCAGTTCATCCTCTTCCCCACTCAGACAAGTGTTACAGAGTTCTTCAGCACCACCAAAGGCACCCCACTCAGTCAGCAAGCATCTTGCCCAAAGCAGCTTAACTCACTCAATCCATGGGCCAGGAAACCCTCCAGAACATCTCCTTGTTCTACTGCCACATTTCTGTGCAGCAGCATCTCACCCTTTCTCTCTGTTTAAGTGTTGTAATTCCTTCTAAATCTCCTGCATCTAAGAGGTTGTTTTCAGTACAGGGATTTCAGGTTCAAAGGATGCATTTAATTTCTAGCTCTTCCTTCTTGTTAGTAAGGAGGTATTCCTGTTCTATGAATGTTTTAAGCATATCCTACTCACTCAGTCACTCATTTAATCATAACAAACTCATAGCTGACTCTCCATTTTAGTCCAGGGGCTCTAAAGAAAGAAAAAAAAAATAAAGGGTATTCATATTTTCCCCCAAAGAATAGATGGTGTATTTGATCTGCCAGTGAAGTAGAGTCTTCGGGTTAGCAGTGCATCCCTCTATTGACTAGGGCCTATAGAGTTAGGGAGATGGCAGTATAGACCAATACGGACCAATCTCCCAGTTTGGATTCCATACACATTATTTGCTTGATTCACTACCACAAAGGTATCATTCTTCTTACTCATATTATTGGTAAGCTGTTGTTGTTGTTGTTATGTGCCATTGAGTCATTTGCAAATCATAGTGACCCTATGTCTAAGAGCTCTAAACGCTGTTCTATCCTGTGCCAATCTAGCCATCTCAAAAGCATTTATTTCCACCACTCCAGTCACAGAATCGGTCCATCTCATCGAAGGTCTTCCTCTCCTATACCTCCCCTCCTCTCTGCCAAACATGATGTCCCTCTCCAAGGACCCCCTTGCAACATGCCCAAAGTATGTCAGACGAAGCTTCAGAATCCTTGACAACAAGGAGCATTCTGGGTTCACCTTCTCCAGGACAAATCTGTTAGTTCTCCTAGCAGTCCATAGTATATTCAACACTCTTCTCCAGCACCACAACTCAAAGGCATCAATTCTATTTCTATCAACCCTATTCACTGTCCAACTCTCTGATGCATAGCACATAATTGCGAATACTATAGCCCGGATCAGGTGCACCTTAGTCTCCAGCCTGATGTTGTTGCTCTTCAGTACTCTTTTTAAATTTTTTTAATTATTAAATTTTATTAATTTTAATGAACATTTACAGAGATTTTGGGTTTCATTCATTCATTGTTGCACTATTTTCTCTACCCTCCTCCCCAGTTCATTCTTCTCCCCCCCTTGAAAGTCTGTTTTAATTGTCCAATTGCCACAGTGCTTGTCAAAGCCAGTTCTGATTAATCTCCTTTGTCAGTGTGTCCTTTGCCATTCCCTATCACTCCTCCCTGAGAGAGACTTCACCCTGATTCATAAGGAAAAGTGGACGGCGTATTCTCTTAGCTACTTCCTGCTGAAAAGGGACACTGTAGGTTTCAGGGTGAAGATCTTCTCTCACACATTCTTGTCTTTAAGGAGCATTCTGGATGGACTTCTTCACCTACACCACAATTCAAAACCATCTGTTCTTTGATCTTTCCAATTCATTGTCCAACTTTCACACACATGCAAAGGGACTTGACTATGTAGAGCATAACAAGTTATGGTTAATACAAGAGTATAAATCCCAAAATACTTAATTGTGTTCATGTGAAACCTATACAAAGACCAAGAAACTGTTGTCCAAACAGAACAAGGGAACATTCTATGGTTTAAAATCAGGAATGTTATACATAATTGTATATCATCAAGCCTATTTAACCTATGTGCTGAACATATAATTCAAGAAACTGCACTATGTTATAAAGAATACTATATCAGGACTGGAATGAAAATCACAACAACCTACCTTAAGCAGTTGACACAACTTTCCTGACTGGAAGTGCAGAAGACTTTAAGCACTTACTGTAGAAAATCAAAGACTATCACCTTCAATATGGGTTACATTTCAACATCCAGAAAACAAAAATCCTCACCACTGGACCAAAAGGCAACATTGTGATAAATAGATAATAGATAAATATGTCAAGGATTTAATTTTAATTGGATCCATAATCAACAACAGTGATAACAACAGTGAAGAAATCAAAAGACATATTGCACTGGGAAAATCTGTCAATGATAAAGAAAAATTATGTCTGTTTAAAGATTAAGGCATAACTGGTATTTTCAGTTGCTTCCTAAGCTTCTGAGCATTGTACAGTGAATAAAGATGATAGAAGAAGGACCATGGCAATCCATAGGATGGTCAGTATTCTTCAGGACCAGAATTCAAAGGCATTGGTTCTTTTTCTTTTTTTTTTTTTTATAAATAATTTTAATGAGCATTTACAGAGATTTTGGATTTCCATTCATTCATTGGTGCACTTCTCTCCCCACCCAGCCCTCCCCGCCCCCCGCCCCAGTTTGCTCCTCTCTTTTAAAATTAAAGAAAAATTCTTTCTTTGGTATACAATCCCCCACACCCCTCCCACCGCCCCAGGTACACTCCACTATGCACCCTTAATTGTGGACGTTTGTGATAACTATAATACCCTATCATATATTGCTTTTAATTTATTCTCTCCCTCATATTTTTCAATGTAGTACACTTAATTTATCCAGTTTTTCTCAGTCTTACCCCAACCCTGATATCAGTCCCATTCTACAACAGTGGCACCATGCAGTATTTGTCCTTTTGTGACTGAGATATTTCACTCAGCATAATGTCCTCCAGGGTCACCCATTTT